AGAGAGAGAGAGAGAGAGAGAGAGAGAGAGAGAGAGCAATATCGTTGCGCTCTTTTGTCTCGTAGAATGGTGGGGCGGGCACACACACATATGCTGCATATCACATGGATGTGCGCCCGCTTAAAAATCACTCCCCATTGGCCCACCCTTAATTGCCAATAACTTTTTAGGGGTGACTCTGATCAAAAAGTGCAAGAGGACTTTTCTGCTCAGAATCACCCCCTGATCCTAGGGTGTTCAGATGTACATGTACTTCTGAAACACCCTGTATACTGTAACATAAATGAATCATTCATCAAATTTCCCACTCCCGATTTTTTTTTCATGCGAATCAAAACGTTAGCTATACCTTTGCATAATACTCGTTGGATAAATTCGGCATGAACCCATCGATCGCTATTTTTGGTGGGTTCTGACATTGCTGCATCACAATAATTGCATCCTTCTTCAATCTTTTCGAATGTAAAATCCATGGAGAGTTGTACAACGCCCAACTAACTTTTTCGCTCTGATTAATCACAAGAAAGATAAATTACAAAGGTATCTAAGTAAACTAATTATATGCTGAAATGATAACTTACTGCTGCGGTCAGATTCTCAGCGGTCCAAGCAAAACAAAAGAGCATCGAGGCGTCCGCAATATCAATCCACGCAAACTGAACTTTTTTTAGGACTGGTCCATACTACGAAGAGGAAAATAATTAAATCCAAAATCATAATCATCCCTACTGTATACCAACCCCGACCACATGAATTGATCCGCATGCAATGGTTATCGTGGCTATTGCGATTAATACTGCTACCGTAGGTCGCACAATTTTTATAGTTTCTTCAATGTACCTTGAACAGGGTATAGAAGAAGAATTCATAAGGAATTTTATAGTTTGTGGTAGGCACTGTATCCGCTCAAAATTCCTTCGGAAAGAGCTGATATGACGGTATAGATCAATGATCAGAAGGCGGTTGTATGTTATTTCGTAAATTTGTGTTAAATTTTCTTAGGAATGAATAAAATAAAATCTCATTCATTGTTCTTATTATCTTCCTTTTAGATTGATTGTATGTATTTGACAATCCATTCAACGCGTCATCACCATGAAACAAATGAGTTATCTTCAATTTCGATTTGTATCCCCACTAGTTAGAGGTATGGTGACAGTCACCTAGGGTATTTGGCATAATTTTTTCAAGTGACAAGAATTTCTCATGTTCTAATCTGTCTCAGGACCCTCACCGACGTGTCACATGACTGGTCAGCGAAATGTAATATTTTTTGACATTCCCAGATTCGAAATTTACTCAGAATTTTATACTGTGTGGTATCGAATGCTCCTTTGAGTGCTCGCAAGTGCTAAATTTGGTCACTATACGAAAAAATCGCTGCTGTGTTATTCAGGCTCGAGCATTGCCCAATTCACTCTACACTACCTGAGTGTTTATCAAAAATAATTTATTTTCTTTAATAATTCCGGATGTCAATCATTTTTTAAAAATGGTATAATTTTCTAGATATTGCAATTAACGAATTAACGTGACCAAACTAGGGTTAACCATCTAAGGTGACATTTGGATTCAATACAGTGGATACTCCCTATGATTTCACTTCTCCAAGATTTCAGTTGGGGAAGTAAACTTCTCCCACCATCAACAATGTTCTCCTTCCTCAGTCAAACCATCGACGTATGAGCATTTGCCGATTATTTAAATTCATGGAATTCGTTCCCTCGAAGCTGAAATCGTAAGGAGCATCCATTATAGTACTTTTTTTACCTGAGTAGGGTGAATCAATTAGGCGCGCTTACTGTCGCCAATAATAGGTAGTAAGCTCTCGGCCCTCTTACAGTAACATAATAGTGCCAGTTCCAGGGTGCCACAGTTCTCCCATGCATTAAGAACTAAAGTAGGACCTAGCAGTTCGCATACTTTTCGTACCGCACGACCTCGCTGTTTGCGTCATTTCTCTCTTACTTTCTTCACCCATCCCACTACTCCCTACTTCCCCGACGCTCCTCCTATAGAGCCAATCAGATGTCAGTACTGAGCGGGACGATAGAGCATCGTCGTGAGAATGAAACAGGTACCTCTCAACTTGAAAACAATCACCGATAAGAAAATTATTGATAATATAATTTATTAAACAAAGTATTCACATGTTCTATATTTATGGGAGTCTAGTATCACAATGAATTATATCATAAACTACATTACTATTGACAACGATTGCAGTAGGACTAAAATCAGAATTGACATAACAAAATACACTTCAGGAATGCAGAAATGATATATTCTCAGAGTAACTTTGATGAATTTGGCAGATTCTGTCTCCAATCAATCGGAATACATTGAGTTTGCGAGATATCATTAAAGTATTTGTTGAGAGTTTTCTGCTGCAGACCTATTTATTATTCATATGTCTAGACAAACTGGTACCAACATGGTGCGACAAAAATATTTATTAGAAAAAAATTGTGTATTTCTGGTAAAATAGTTCAATAGCTTCAGAGTTTCTCGGAGTCATGGGAACATATCTCATTATTCAATGCATCGACTTTGAATCGAATTTGATACAGCAGATGGGCGCATTAGGTAATGCGCATGTTTCAGCATCAAATAATTAATTACAGAAGGGGTAAGAGGGCGATTCGTAATACGCGACCATCTAGAGCGAAAATATGCATACAGCTAAATCCTACGCATTTTGCAAGTACGCGAACTGCTAGGTTTTACTGTAATTTAGTTCGTTCGAGGCCCTGTTGAGCCGACAGTGATGTCGCAGCTCCCACCATGGTGTATAGGCTAGGCCTCCTAGACCTACACCATGACATACACCATGACATGGAGTGGGGGGAAACGCCCATTCACCTCAGAGGGTGAATTTCAGCTTCCAAGATCCACAGTGATTCTTCGTTCTCGAATCCCATTTAGACGGTGTAAATAACAACCCTAAGAGGATAAGGGTGATTCTCTACATATTGTGATTTTTCACCTTGTACATTTTTCAAAATCTGAATATATCTGCAGAGTAATCCTTTTACATTTCTATATGTCATAATGGTCCAGAAGTATAGTCCTAGCACCACTCTACTACAACTTCCAAAGATTTAGAATAATAGAGTGTTACCGATTTTTTACTGCCACGGTAGTGACCAAACTTGACAAGTCTTCGTATTTCAATCACGAAATTTAATTTTTAGATAATAGCATAAGTTTATTGATTTATTTGATATCTTTTGAGTATTATATATTCATTTGCGGGGATCACTTTAGTTTTTTTTTTCAACAATCAATTCTGCCACAGTACATTTGTATTCAGCAGTTGTTGATGACCCACCTGGGTGTTACTCTGAGTTTGCACCATTTAAACATCTAAAATATTTTTCTAAATACCGTTGTGATGATACAACTTCATTCCCACACATTTATGTATGATATAACACGGTTGTGACTGCCACGGTTGTGACATCCTGTGTTAAAACCTAATCACACTTCGTGCTAGCTATGAATTCAAAGTTCTCTGAAGATGATGAGTTTCAGGCAATGGAATGTTACTTTTTTAATGAAAAAAATTAGCGAAGAAATTGCTCGATATGGAATAAACATGAAACCACGGTAGTGACAGAATAATTTGTGACTTATGTTTTTCATCTCTCGAGTAGTCTTTCTTCGATGTGCACATGTGTCTAGTTGATTTTTACTGGTGTAAATACTGGGCCTTACCCCTTCTTTATAGAGTTTTGGTACGTGCGTCATGCACAAACATCGGAAATGGCGTGACCACAGTTGATTTCAAATTTTTTTAAATAGTGCTATAATTGTGGGACACCCTTTTTGATCGTCCTGGTGTGAGTAAAACTATTATTCCTCTGAAAATTGCTCATGAAAGTATACTTAGTCACATCCCCTTTATCTATGTTCAGCAAATTTTTTTTGAGCTGCTTATTTACTCGGTTTCATTGACAAAATCTCGAATTTTATAAAAAGGACATGCCACGGTAGTGACATTTAGGCTAGTTTCAGCTCTCTAAAGTTAAGTAAACTATAAGGGAATGGCATCTATTTTATGGAAACGGTGAAATGTTATAGTGTCTCCCGACATCCGGAGAAATTTGATTATTAGTTCATCATTTTGAGATCGGAAAAGTTGAAGGATGAGAAAATAACAATTTGTAGATAATCACCCATAAGTCGGTGTTTCGATGTTCTTTGGCAGCTAATGTACTATCTCTCATGATTTCTAAGAGGATTGTTAAAATCAGAAAATGAAGTAATTACCATAGTGTATGTTGATGTACGCGGATGCAGCTTGCGAATTCTTTAGAACTGGTCGCCTGCTTAATTTTTTTGCCGAGAAATTCTAACTGAATTATTCCATACCAGAGGAGCAGACACAATTGACATATAAAACTGATATTACAGAAGCATTGAATACTCCCTATTACTTCTAATACAAATACAAGATCATAAACGGGATGTTTATCTACAGGAAAAGGATACTCAGCAATACTTGGAAAGGGCTGATCGATAACAACGGGACCAAAAATATAAGACAAAACAGCACCCAGGGAAAAAACATAATATCGAACGTAAAAAGGAATCTCTCGTTCTACATAATTCTCTAGTACTTCTCGTTCGTGGGGATTTGCATTTTTCACGAATGTCTCCATCTGTTCAATTAAATACTATGAAATGAATGGAATATCTATTAGAAATCAATACTGTGAAGAAACTTTTTTATTGGGAGGAATTTTCTGACACCAATGCTTACCTGTAACCGATGACGGTGATGCTTCGCAATAATCATCATTACTACAATTTGAACAAAACAGAATGCTATGGATAAGCTTTCTGTGAATTTAATGAAATTGTTCCGGTGTTTGTACGCCGTAGTAATAAGTGGGAGACCTACTGCAACGGCGACAATCAAGGAAATCCACCAACCCATATTGAGAATAATCTTTGTGATTCGTGTTGTTTTTGAACTGGCTGGCCACGAGAATGCAATTCCTGTTGTGAATTTAGTCCACTGGATAACAAACGCTGGAGTTAGTCTTTTATCCATAGCGACGTTGCTACGAACTATAACTATCGCAGAAGCCGATTTGTTAATTACAATTGAATCAATTCGTTGATTACAGCCATTGACTAGCAAATTTTTGGTATAATTGAAATTACAGACCATTAGTTGATAGGATAAAAATGCCGCTGATACACGATAAAATGGAAGTGATATCAAAAGGCATAAAATTCATGAGGATAGTCATAACAATCAAGTAAAAGTCAAACACTATGAAATGAATATTGATATTCATTTCATGATTCAACAATATTAATCTAATTTATTACATCCTCTTATCCTGACCTGCAACCTCTACGGAACTTTTCAATCTAATGGACTTTATGATCTGTATGAAGAATATGAAGGATTCCAAGATGAGGGAGCTAAGGAGATCATGTAATTTCAATTATTACAATGACTTCACTGATTAATCACAAGCTACAGTGAATTTAATAACTACACTTTGATCACACCAGCGAGTGTCACCCAAATTGCGGATGGGAATAGGCGCTCGCTGAGAGATACTTCACAAGAAACAAGAAACGTTAACATCAGAATTTGCGCCCTCAATTCTTCACTCATATCAATAATATAGCATATGAAATGAACCTATACGACCCAGGCTGAATCGTCTTAATGACTAATTAGCACGAGTGCTTTAATATTTCATCGGTGGATGTATAGTAAACTGTTTCATCTAAAATTCAAAGTATTCAAAGCAACCGGATGTCCAAAACTACAATCAAATTTGAATGAGACATATGTGCGAGAGTAAAGAAGTTATTGTTTGAAATTAGATCTCCACTACATGTATATTGTAACATGGTATTTGGCTTTGTCCTCGACCGTTCAATGGTTACGGATTTCCACACGGGAAGTCACTTTATTGGCGAGGCGAGAGTCAAAATTAATTTTTGTTGGGCCTTGTATTAATTTATTTTTGGTTTGTATCGCTTGTAATATTGTCACTGCTCACTGGACTACATCGTGGGATGAGACCCGGATCATCGTGGGAGTTTATCAACCTCTTTCATTGGGTCCCTGAAGTCCAGAAAAGTCTTGGATCCTCGGGCGGATGTTTAGATGGTCCCGCGCAGGAGGGACTCTCACGCGAATGACGGGTGGCGGCGCCAGCTTACGGAGGCTGGAAATGGAGGGCTTAGCTGACGATCTGGAAAATATTTGAGGATGCCTGGAACGACGTTGGACGTCCATGGAAAAATGCATCCGCCGATGGAATAATTATTTATAATTTCATTGAAAATGATTCAGGAGGTTCGAACTTCAACTTGGTTATTAGTAGTGGACATGATTTGACTTATTTTACTATTGTTTGGCTTGGATTGGGTTCAATTTCATTGATCAACCGAAGCCAAGTTGTCGTCACACTCAGCCAATGGGAGCCTGGGACGCCTGTTGGAGCGTTTTCGCGTGAGCTAATTGCGCCGGCAACGGCCACTTCTCGTCTGGACGTCATTGCGGCCGATGTGCATATTTTTGTTGTCTAAATTCATAACATAATTTTCAAGAGTCGATAGTTTGTGGGACCTGAGCGTCATCAGAGGACTTCTTTGCCGTTTGTAGAGCTTTTGGAGTTGCTGATCGACATGTATTCTCCTTTTTATCGGTGAACGGTGGTTCCCTAGAGAGAACTTTGTAAATTTGCGTATCTTACAAGGTATGAAACCAGCCTTTTGTTTTAACGGACGCTTGGTCCATGGCATTGACGCCATTAGAGTTTTCCACGATTTTCGGCCGGTTCTCACTCCTCGTTCGACAGAGGAATATATTTTTCGGGTCCATTCGAATCTCTGCTCCTTGATATCGCTAATTTGCTGGCGATTTGGTTTGTTAAGATCCTCTCGAGTTCAGTGAGCTGAACGGAATTTTTGTGTCATTTATTAGACTCTCGTTTCTCCATCGCCGTGTACTATTATCGATTTTTCGGCGGTTTGGAATTTCGAGGTCAGTCGTGTTATTTCCTCGGGATGATCATCTTTGTCTCTCGGTTAAGTTTGGCTGATTTAACATCACTTTTAATTTCGGCCGAAATAATATTCCGTTTGGGAAGTTATCGTGTTTTTGAAAGTGTGATTGTAGCGCATTTTCGGTGCTCGAGTTTTATTTCGTCGCCGGCTGATATTCTATCAGCTGCCGGTTCTGTTGTTTACATTCTCTCGAGGCAATCCCCCTCTCAAACTCACGTGGAGTTGCCTCTCTCTATCGCCACTCTGGTGGACACACTGAGCGCTCGGGGTAATAGAAGATCCCTACTCTGCGATTATCTGACTTCGAGTAAATTGACTAGTTATTTTATCTTCTATCTTTAGACTTTCGTTGACTTTAACTTAAAATTTTGACTAGTATTTTCTTCTCTGACATGTCGCAGAGGTAGAGGTTGTGTTATGTTGTGTCATTTGTCTTTATTTCATTTATTTATTAAAAAAACCCCGAGTTCGGAGGGCCAGATTGAGAGATCAAGACGGGGTTTTAATTGTTGGAATTATAATCCAACTTCTAGTTATTTTAAATTCAATTATTATTTTTCCCTGTTCGATAATTCATTAACCCTCCTGAACTGGCTGGATCTCTTACGTCTCACTTGCACTACAGTGGCGCCCTATAGGTTGAGTAGTTGGCGGCGGCGCGCCGCTCTACGTGCCAGTTCAGGAGGGTTAATATTTAGCAAACCCAGTTATTTCAGGATTTAAATTGGAACAACATCTTGGACCCATCTGCCTCCGCGGATGATATACTGAGCTGTCGGCTGCTGTTCTGTCATTTGTTATTCATTCGAAATTTGATTTTGATTTTCGTTCATTTTTGGAAAAACGATCCAGCGCCCAATTATTGGTTTTGAATTTGGACGTCGAGGGCTGCGTATCTTCGTTCCGTTTCCCCAGAGGCGCGAAATACGTCAGAGTATATTGAAGACACATGGGGACCAGATTTTTTAGATGAGACTTTCTTGGCGGCTTCCTTCATCTTACACACTGCATTCGCCGCCGTTCCATGGAGTTTACCTAGTTTTTCTCTTCTTGCTTACAAATTTCAAGAGAATATAGAATTGAAAATGATAAACTCAATGATACAAAAACTATGAAATTCTGATCATAAATTTTCAAATGCTGAACATTAGGATTTTTCATCACTTCAGCCAATCATATTGTAATTGCTTGCCGCTCAGATTGGAAGTGGTGATGCAGCTGTCAATGGGACTTTACATGAGACTCAATATCATTCTTCATGCTGATAAAACTATCGGTGTGATTGTTGCAATGAGCATTGCTCAAACTATCGCACATAATGTTGCTTCAACTATCGTGTGTTACGTCGCTAATGTTACATAAGGAGCTGGCTGTCTGTTTTTTTCGGGCAGTGGGATCTCTGCCCATGGAGTGCTAAGCCACTAACCCAAACTAAGTACTAAGCCAAAACATGAGTTTCAAGTTTACACTAATTTTAACTTTGTGGATTTTGATTTCAATACGGTTACAAAAAAAAAATTTGGACTTTGCAGATTCTGAACAATCTAGAATTTAACTTCTAAGTTTACTTCTTGATGTAGGAGGTTAAATCCGGTCTTATTCTTACTTTTAATATTATTCTAAGTGTCGTGTTGAAAAAGCTTCCACAAGGTAGAACAGGAGACTAATCGTGACCGTGAACTCAGTTGATGGGGTTGGCCTTACGCAAGACTCGCATACGTAGTAAGACAACCAAAACAGGAAGTAGTAAAATCCTCGAAGTTTTCTCCGAGTAAAGAAGAACTAACTTTTCAGAGACATTTTATAACTTTAACGGTTTCAAATAGCATACGAACACTCCATAAAGAAAAACGAGTATTTGAAAGAGGTTTTATTTTCAAGTATTCTAAACTATGTCGTTAGAAAATTTCAAGACTTATTGCTAGTTTGTTGTTTACGTGTTGAACTGAGTCTACTGTCTCCATCGCAAACTTGTTGAAACGTGGCAGTCAATACCGCCACTTGCAATTGTCCGAACATTGCCACTTTCAATCATGGCGGCATGGTGGAGATCTACTATGATGGGAAAACTCCCCACCTCCACGATCAGTTGACCTTAATAATCACCCCACTACAGCCGGTTGATCCTCCTGACTGATTTCTCAAGGTCATAGTAGTCCGGAACCGGCTTTGCTGTAATAATTTTGGTTTTGATGTGCGACAGCTCCGATAAGGAAATTCTAAAAGAAAAATTGTGACACTCAAGTAATAGAATACAGTGGGAAATCTGGTTTGATAACGGATGCTTTATATATTATATATTTTGACAGATCGTATACATATCGTCCATGCGTTTATTTATACTGTTATGCCAGTGCACAACATCGATAGATTCAATACACTCGTCAAAAATCAGAATCATAACAACATTGGATATCATTACTCTTTCATGAAAATTCGATTGACTGTTCTTGCAGATACACTCAGATGTAGATGTTTGTATCTCATTACAATAAATTAGGACAATAGCACGATTAAGTCGAGTGAAATAGGAATTGAACGAATCACTCAGGTTGAGGCTATTATCTTGGGATCTCCAAAGGCAAAGAATTGAATAAAAAGTTTTCAACACATTATTCAAGCGATTTACACCGGATTCCTTTTAAGAAATTTGAATTATTCACTTGCTGGTAAATTTACAGTTCCATATTATCAAATCCTTAATTCATCATTGATCGAAAAAATTAGATGATTAATATTATACTATTTTGAAAATTAAATCAGCTTATCTTAAACCTTCATTAATGTAAGGGTCAAATCCTTTTAATATGATAGAAATTCAATATTGATGGTGATCCCTGGATATTGCTGATCGCATTATTAATTCTCGAGATGGAATCGTAACAAAGTTACATACGAAATAAAGGCACACAGGAGTCAGAAATAGGGATCAAGAGAGTAAGAAATAGGGTTCAGATATGCCTACACCACGTTAGAATACAAAAAAGAGGTATTAACCACTTGTTCCACGTTCGA